CATGAATTTGGATAAGGATTTAAAAGAAAAAAAGAGAAAAAAAAAAATTAGTTTACACAAGTCTGAATGACAAAGTTGTTTGGAAATTTTCACAAGGAAAAAAAAAACACAAATGTATATAAACACAAATATTTTATCTTGAATAATTCAAATTATTTACGTTGTGTTTGTATTATAAATTTGGATAAGGATTTAGAAAAAGATAAAGAAATAGAGAAAAAAAAATTAGTTTACACGTCATTTACATTTCTCTCATCGTTTCCCTTTCCAAATATCAATGTGAATTTATGATCCAAACAAATCATTAATAGTTTCCATAGAACTCTACAACATTATGAAAATAGTCAAGGATTCTCCATACCTACATCTTCGTTTCTTAATCCTAGTTAGGGGTGTAAATTAGGCTTGGCCCGGGCTCAGGCTGGCCTATATTGGGCCGCGTGGGTTCCCTCTAAAATTCAAGCCGAGCTGGGCCGACCCACGGGCCAAAAAATTAGGCCCACGGGTATTCAGGCCTTGGGCCGCACCGGCGGGCCTAAACATTTTTTTTATTTTATTTTTTTCTATTTTTTTCACCAAAAATTTATTTTTTTTCTACAAAAAATAGCACAAGGCCTTAGGCCAAGCCTTGAGTGGGTCAATGAGCCAGGCCACGAGGTGAGTCGGGCTGGGCTCTAAAACACATGACCTAGGCCCAGGCCTAGGGTCCCAGGCTGGGCCTAGACCTAGGCCTAGTCGGGCTTAGTCAGGCCTGACTGGCCCAGGCCGTGGACGGGCTTTAGTCGGCCCACGAGCCATTTTTACGCCCCTAATATTAATGTATTTTCATCATGTATAGAAATTTTAGCTTATTCTCATTACATTGTGTAGGTGGACATGGGATTATGTCCCAAAATTATTTTGTCTCACTATTTCAAAATATTTAGAATTGTTAGATTATGCCTCAAGACTTTGTTGCCTTAATATTCTCACATCATTCAATGGTGACGAGTGTTTTGAAATTTTTGGACAAAGAATTCTTTGCAGTAAAACGCATTTAGAGAAAGAAACAAAGAAATTTGGGATCAATATCTCGTGTTCATGAAAATGATTGGCAACAAGTTTAATCACAAAATTAAGATAACACAATTAGTCCCTTTAATTTGAGTGAAATTTCATTTTAATTCTTCTAATTTCAATTCCATCAATTTGAAGTCTACACTTTTGATTTTGCTTCAGGGTAGTTTCTTCATTAATTATAGTTAATATTTTGAGCAAAAAAATAACATTTGTGAAATTAGAAAAGTTAAGATAGAATTCAAAAAAAAAATTATAGGAAGTACTTGCATAATTTATTCAGTTTCTTTGTTGTACAAGAGTTACTAAAATTTCTACAATAGGCCTAATCATAATTGGTTAGTAAAGTAACATCCATCCTTGAATCAAAAAATTGGCCGTATTTTGTGAAAAATAATCAAGGCTTGGCCTAGCTCGATCATTCCAATAATGGATGAGACAATCTTTTAAGGGGTTGTTTGGGAATTGTTCATATAGTTTTTTTTTTACTTATTTGTTTATTTTGTTATTCATTTATTTATTTATTTTAAATTGTATTTGGGATGTGCTTATTTTCGTTACGTTTTTTTGGTTTGTCAAATAATATAATATATTGTTCCATCGAGTGTTGGTAAGCCATTTTTTCATTTTACCCTTTGTGTCGTGAGACACATGTCAGGATGGTGAAAAGAATGAGGATATATTAATGAGAGTAAATCTGTCATTTCATATCTCAAATCATATTACTTTTATTTTCATGCCAAACACAAAAATAGAGTTCAGATAATGCTTACAACCCCATTTCGTAGCTCGAAATGGCGTGGGTCGAAAGGCCCGAATTGCTTTGTACACCCACCCCTTTTCTTTGTACACCCTTCCTCCCTCTGTTCATCCCCCCCTTTAGAAAACTCACACACACACACAGAGCTCTGTTCATCCATCCCCTCCCTTTGGTGTCATTTTTTTTTTCTTACAGTAGCGCTCCAATCTCTTTTATCTATACGGATCCAAAAAATATCTTAATCAATTTTTTAACCCAAGAAATAGAAAAATAAAAACAACCCCGGTTGGTAGCTCGAATATAGGGGCTCGAAGTTGGCTCGAAATTAGGGGGAAGAAGAAAGAGGAGGAGGAAGGAAGAGAAGGACTGGAGGGGGCCCAATTATTAGGGTTGGAGGCGGAGGCGGGGGGCGGAGGCACGATCGGGCGTGAGCGACGAGCTGCGAGCTGCGACGGCGGGCGGAGGCAACGAACGAGCTGCGATGAGGACGGCGGGCGGAGGCGGCAGAGGTGACGAGCTCTTCTCTTCTCTCCTCTCTCTTTCTCCCTCTCTCCTCCTCTTCCCCTCTGTTCTCCTGTGTTCAACGAAGAATAAGAAGAAAATCGCAAAACGACGTGGTTTTCAAATTTCGGGCCATTCGACCCTCACCTATTTCGAGCTACCACCTATTTTTCTAATGCTTATTACCTTCTAACTTTTTTTGACTTTGATCCCATTAGAAAGCATAAAATTTAAATTAATAAAACTAAAATTACATATTTAAAATAAACTTTATCCAAATTAAATGTCACGTCCCCAAAAATAGTATAAATGATTCATTCCACAAGATCTATGAACACAATAGAAATGATATACTTTCTTTCATCAGAGTTTATATTACAAAATGCATTACATGCATTATACATTCATAAATGTTCATCTTGAATCTATAACATACAATATTAGTTAATAACAACAGAATTAATGCCCTACAGGCTTATATCTTTCCAATATATCACTTGGTTATAACAAAATAGAGTCTTAAGCTCTATACATGTAAAACCCTCGACTTGAATAAACATTTAAACACAAAGGTAACAAAACAGAGCCTCCGACTCCTAAGTCCTTCCAAGCTGTATCCTTGGAGGAGGTAAGTCACCAGTACTTGAAAATGATTTTCCAAGTAGGGTGAACCAAAACCCAGTAGAAATAGACTAACACGATATATGAAGTTTAACTAAGATATAAATGTCAGGCATATATTCAATATTTATGACAATACATATTTTCCACATAAATATACGATACCAATATCCATATCTCCATTCATTCCCTTCTATCCATTTCGAGTTAATTCATTTCATTTCAATTCATAGGCCAAGTTTATAATTTTCTGAATAACCCAATTGAGACTACAACTCAGTGGTTTTAAATCATAGCAATCATACAAGTACTTCAATCTTGCCATTTTACAGAAATTTCGTCCACGGGATCGACACCTTTGTATTCAAATGATTTCGGGACTTTCTCCTTAGACATTCCGGTCAACTTAATTTTTAATAGAGTTCATTCCCTATCTTCTCCCAAAACATGGAGTATATCCCATTTCTTCTTCCAAACATTATATATATACAATGTATTTAAAGATACTGTCACATTCAATGACGTTCAATTATACATATTCAATGTATTTAACATACCGTCATATTCAATGACATAATTAAATGATTAGTTTCAATTTACCTAATCCTCATGTAATTTCTACAACAATCATGGTCATCCCCCACTGGTAGCCAAATATAGTTATTTCTAAGCAGATATACAATCTTTATAACAGATAATTCATCAAATTCTCATAGGTGAGTGATTTAACAAATCCAACTACACCATTCATTCATACATCTTCCCAATTTCATATTTCTCATACCAATTCCATTATTTATACAAAAATAATTATTTAACACATATTAGGGCAAATTTCTTCCTTTTTCCAAATATCAATCCCAAGGCTAAATTTCACCATTCTAACCAAGGTAACCTCATATTCAAAACCTCATATTCATTTATAGAATCCAACATAGAAACCCATTTTTCAATTTGAATCCAAACCCTAACTTTTCCCAAATCCTCCCAAAATTCCACCATTTATACATAACAACAAATATCTAGGTTAAAAATCATATTAAGGTGTAGAATATCCCTACCTCAAGAGTAGAAGCCCAAAGAAGAAAATGAAGAACTTAAAAAATGCCCAAACTTGTTTTTACTCAGATCAAAAGGAAGTCCTTGAAATGCTTCAACCCTTTATCAAAGGGAGTAAGGTTAAGAGATCCTTAGATCTAGGTGCATTTGTAGAGAGAGAATAAATTTTAGAGAGAGGAAGAGCCGATTTAGGGTTTTTGAGTGAAAAGATACAAAAGTTCTGTGTAAAAATAAGTTGCTGCGAACTGATATACGTGATACTTACTCGAGCGAAGGATTTGTCGCTCGAGCAACTAGACACAATAAGTGTCGTCGCTCGAGCACAAGAAGCGTTGCTCGAACGCAGAATACAAAGTCCTAGAAGTTTGTAGACAGAAGACCGTCGCTCGAGCGCAAGAGTTTTCGCTCGAGTGAACAACAACACCCTCCCAGAATCTCTGCAGACCTGAAGAAATACTGGAAGATCAACAAGCTCACTCGATCAAAGAAGCCAAAATTTGGACAATATCACACTAGACCAACAAGCAACTAACTTGTTCCAAACACACCCAAACATCCCAATACTCAAACTCAAAGAGTGGAAGGAAGAAAAAACATGGATAACAATATTAAACCATGAGAACCCAAGTTCGAAATGCCACAATAATCGGTTAAAATCGAGATCGTTATATTAAAGGGACTAATTTACCACAAGAATGTTTTCAGTTAAAAAAAATCAGTCATTGACACAGGCCCTGTTTAGTAAGGCTTATTTCCAACTTATTTCAATTTTTAACTTAATTTAAGCTATTTTGATGTGTTTGGTTCAGCTTAACAATACAGCTTATATATTTTTGTAAGTCAAAAATCAACTTATTCTTTAAGTGAAAAAAAAAAAAACTTAATTTATAAATTAAAAATAATTATAAATTATAAACTGTTGAATTATAATTTGTAATCATTTTCCCACGACATATAGGCCTAGCATTTCACCACTTTCGCTAGAATACAAATATAATCGACTTGGTGGACATTCGTCCTTATCAATCCCTGAAATTTCTTTGTTTTTCAGTGACCAAAATGCATTGGCAACTGTGGCCACAACATCATCATCATCATCTCTTCCTCAACCTCCTCTTCATGCATGGCTTCTCTCCCTGTCGCCACCACTCTAAATCCACACATCACCCACTTCAAACCCACGAAGTCTGTCAAATTCACACCGACCCATCTCACAAACCTCCAAGAAAATGCCAAGAATTCTCGAACTCTGTACAACTCTCATTTCAAAGAGATATCTTTTCTCTGCAAAGACGATCGAATTCAAGAAGCCGTGGATATGTTCACTGAAATGCAGCTCAAGAACTTCCAAATCGGACCTGAAATCTATGGCGAACTCCTTCAAGGGTCCGTTTATGAGCGTGATTTCTTCATGGGTCAGCAAATTCACGCTTTGATTATTAAAAATGGCGAACACTTCGCGAGAAATGAGTATGTTGAAACAAAGCTAGTGATTTTCTATGCGAAGTGTAGTTTTTTGGAAGTTACGGTCTATTTGTTTCGCAGACTCCGAAAACAGAATGTGTTTTCATGGGCTGCCATTGTTGGATTGTATCGCAGAATGGGTTTTAGTGAAGAAGCTTTATTGGGTTTCATTGAAATGCAAGAAAATTGTTTTCTAGCCGATAATTTTGTCGTGCCAAATGTGTTGAAAGCCTGTGGGGCTCTACAGATGATTGGATTTGGGAAGGGAGTTCATGGGTATGTGTTGAAAATGGGTTTTGGTGGGTGCGTCTTTGTTGCAAGTAGTTTGGTTGATATGTATGGGAAATGTGGGGTTTTAGATGATGCAAGGCAAGTGTTTGATAATATGTCTGAAAGAAATGTAGTCGCTTGGAATTCAATGATTGCAAGCTACGTTCAAAACGGGATGAATGAGGAAGCTATTGAAGTCTTTTGTGAAATGGGAATGGAAGGTATTGAACCGACTCATGTCACCGTGGCAAGCTTTCTTTCAGCTTCGGCTAATTTATATGCTCAAGTAGAGGGTAAGCAAGGACACGCTATTGCAATCGTAAATGCGTTCGATTTAGATAACATTTTGGGAAGTTCCATTATTAATTTCTACTCCAAAGTTGGATTGATAGAGGATGCAGAGTTGGTTTTTAGTAGGATGCTTGAGAAAGATGTGGTGACGTGGAATTTGCTTATATCTTGCTATGTGCAATATGGTTTGATTGAGAATGCGCTCAATTTGTGTTGTCTAATGAGATTAGAAAACTTTAGGTTTGACTCGGTGACTCTAGCATTGGTACTGTCAGCTTCAGCTGATACGTGCAATATAAAACTTGGTCAAGAGGGCCATTGTTATTGTATTAGAAACAACCTTGAATCTGATGTTGTAGTTGCAGGCAGCATTGTCAATATGTATGCCAAATGTGAGAGAATCAGTCATGCAAGAAGAGTTTTTGACTCCACAACAATGAGAGATCTTGTGTTGTGGAATACATTATTGGCAGCTTATGCAGTGCTAGGTCTGAGTGGTGAAGCACTGAAATTGTTTTATCAGATGCAGCTAGAGGGTGTTCCACCAAATGTGATATCGTGGAACTCTCTAATTTTGGGATTCCTGAGAAGTGGCCAAGTCAACAAGGCCAAAGACATGTTCTCAGAGATGAAGTCCCTCGGCTTCAAACCTAATGTGATTACTTGGACTACCCTCATTTCTGGCCTGGCTCAAAATGGATTTGGAGATGAAGCAATTCTACTTTTTCAGCAAATGCTAGAAGCAGGAAACCGACCCAACGTTGTCAGCATCGTTGGTGCACTCTCTGCTTGTACAGAGACAGCATCATTACAATTTGGAAAAGTCATTCATGGCTATATTACAAGGCAGAGCCTTTGTTTGTCTATTCCAGTCGCAACTGCTCTAGTTGACATGTATGCTAAATGTGGAAGCATAGATCGAGCAAAGAAAGTGTTTGATATGATTTTGATCAAGGAACTCCCTTTGTATAATGCAATGATCTCCGCTTATGGATTACATGGCCAAGCTGTAGAAGCCCTCTCACTGTTTAAGCATCTTCGGGAGGAAGCTATAGAGCCAGACAACGTCACTTTCACTGGTATCTTGTCAGCATGTAGCCATGCTGGCCTCATAAACAAAGGTTTGGAGTTCTTTGTTGATATGGTCTCAGAACACCATGTAAAGCCTAGTATGAAACATTATGGTTGTGTGGTTAGTCTTCTCTCTCGGCATGGGAATTTGGATGAAGCGCTTATGCTTATTCTCAGAATGCCATTTGAGCCTGATGCACAGATATTAGGATCACTGTTGGCTGCTTGTAAAGAACACAGAGAGATTGAAATTGGGGAATATATATCCAAATTTTTATTTGATTTGGAACCGGCTAATTCAGGAAATTTTGTTTCTCTGTCAAATACATATGCAGCTGCAGGAAGGTGGGATGAGGTGTCAAGATTGAGGGTTTTGATGAAAGAAAAGGGCTTGAAGAAGAATCCCGGGTGCAGTTGGATTCAAATTGGAGGAGAACAACGTGTTTTTGTTGCAGGCGACATACCACACTCAGAAACTGGGGAAATTTATTCCATGTTAGCCTTGTTAGGACAGGAAATGCTATTACTGGGATATGTTCCTATGCTTAGAAATGCTGAATTTTGTTGCTCTTGACCAATAGGGTTAGAGATGGACTGGCTATCCATGCGGATATAATCATAAGGTGTTATTGGTGGTGAAAAGAGCTTGAGGATATGAGATGCCTCCAAAATGTGACCGATTGAAATGGCTTATCATCCATGAAAAATCTAGAAATCCCCTAGATGTTGATTTGTGATTATGTATCAATTTTAAGCAGAATATAACAATCCCAATCAAACAATCAAGCAATCAAGACAAAGAGACACAACGATTTTACGTGGAAAAAACCACAATTGGACACCTCCAACGGTGATCAAAAAACCACGGGCAACAGCCACCAAGAACAACCCACTAAGAAGATTTAAAGGAATTACACAGGTATACTCTCAATTACCTAGCGAATCCACAGCGCCTAATTGAACCAACCTCTATGTGCCTCTTTCCAACCCCATCTTCACCTCGGAATTGTCTTTACGATGAGCCACCCGAATCCACCAAAGCTTTAGGCTCGAATTCTTCAGAATCCACCGAAGAACAACTCCCGCTTTTGTATAGCAAACAAAAACCTTTGATGTACTCTCTTTTAAACCATGAGTTGAATACTCAATAAAACATCAAAGAAAACTCACAAAGTATCCCCAATATAAACCCTAGAAACCAAAAAGAAGATCTGGAGTAGTAATCCTAAAATCTGACCCAACACGCGAATTTATAGAACTTGTCCCGCGATCTCCGCTCGACGGCCCAACACCCGCTCGAGCGGCTTCAGCAAAATATCGCGAGATATCACAGAGGTCTGCTCGAGCGCCAGAAATCCCGCTCGAGCGCGAAATCACACAGCTCAGTACTTTTGCAGGCGACCAAAACTGCTGGAACCAGGAATTCTCGCTCGAGCGCGGGTATGTCCGCTCGAGCGGAAGGCAATTTTGAATGCATTTTTGCATTTTGCTTCGGGGGCCGCTTGCCCCGGACCCGCCAAGGGGCGCTTGCCCCCTGGACAGGCTCGATCCCCGTCATAATCAGCGAAGTGGCAATCTTGAAAGCGTCAGCATCACAAACTTCTCTGAAAAGCACAATTCAGGTTGGATTCGCATCTAAACACTCATAGCCTCACTGAAATAAGAAGTGCAAAAATAAATACAACTGAAAGGAGTTTTGTCAAACGGGATTGCCAAGAATAAAACCTAACAATCCATACTTTGAGGATAGGGAAACGTTTTCAGTGAACATCTTAGGAAAGTCAAAATTAGTAGCTATTTTCATCACTCAGAAATGTGCCGACCATGACAAGCACCATTGGGAAACTGTTGGGTGTAAATTGTGATACAGAGTTCGATTTTGAGTTCTGGTGCAGACATATGACAAAGGAGGTTTTGAACATACATTGCTATGGTATATATTCAAGTGTCGGTACTAAATTCTGAGTTCCGAGTGCTATATTACTGTTGAAATCATTATCAGAAATCAGTACATGTCCTATTGCTCTAGAAACGAATTCAAAACTTATGATTGATTTACTTGCTTCAAAGACCAAGGCCCCTGGGCTCCAGTTTTCCATTCTGTTGGTGAGGCTGGAAAGTTTATTGGCAACAGGTTGGCATGAAGTGATTCATCATGCTCAAACATGAGCCGATCCCTTTAATTAAGGGTTCTCTTTCCCCTACCATTGAATAAATTTTGAAGTCAAGAGAAGGATAAGAATAAAAAGAGATTTGGTGTATACATGTTTCTCAAACTTTCTACTTGAATAAATCTTGTGTTGTTTGTGACTGAGCTATTCACTTGTAATAAGAGAGCTAATATTTATGAACCCAGAATATCATGCGAAAGAATTGAATTTCTTCTTTCAGCTAAAGTAGGTGTGAATGAGAGATGAGGGGTTTTCTTCTTTTTCTCTTTTTATTTTTTTACTTTTATATATATATTTTTTTTTCTTCGAGTGATGCAACAATTGTCTTTTGAATCAAATAATTAGTAGTTTTCATCATTTATGAAGTCTTCTCTCAGTCGAGTTGTAGCTTGTAGCCCAAGTGATCATGAGGGACACTTAGTTGGTGTTTGGAAAGTGGCTGTTTTTTAAGTTTTTTTGCTTTTTAGCTATTTTAGTAGGTTATTTTAATTGGTTATTTTAGTTTTTGAGTTGGGAAGATAAGATGAATTTTTATTTGAGTTGTATTGAAAAATGTGTTTGAAATGATGTTTGAAATTAAAATGACAAATTAATTTCTAATCTCACTTTTTTTGACATTGGTGTAAAGGGGCAAAAGTGTCATTTACTACCGGTGGGACAGCCTGCCAAGTGACAGTGGTAGGCTGTCAATGCCACTGACTGTAGGCTGCCGAGCTACATTTTTTTTTTTATAATAAATATAAATCAATGGTTTAGCTACAGTAAAGATTACATGACTTTTTTCAAACTTGAGACTAAAATAGCCTACCCCACAGCTTCCCAAACACCGCCTTAATTGCAAGTAAGGTAAGGTCCCAAGTTTGAGTTGAGTAAGTGCCGACATGCGTATTCTCTAAGTCATTACTCAGGTTCATTGAACAATTGCTTGAGGGACAATCTGCACGTATCAATCAAATTTCAATCTGGGATTTCTACACTTCACATATCAATTTTCACTTCATGCATAAACTAAATCCTCCTACTTCACTCATTCTACCCAATTAAAAAATAGATTTTATACTAAATATGTAAAAACATGAAATTTAAATTTCATCATGCTAGAAAAGTTGCTGAGTTAAAAATCATAAACTTGAATGTGTGATTTTAGATGAAATTAACTTCTAGTAGCAATTTTAAAAAGTATAATTTTTTCTAAATAATTTAAAAATCATGATATTTTTTATAATTTGTTATTTTACATGAGCCAAATTGCTCCGATTTTCAGTTTATTTAGTTTTTGAACATGACACAAGTTTACATAGACCACGGACCCCCAAATAGAAGATGGGTAAATAGTTAATAAACATGTACTGTCTGGTTAAAAAGTCACTTTTCTTTTGAAATTTTTTGTCTTTAAAAAATTTGTGTCGAAATCAGTGTATTTGGTTTTAGTTTTCTGAATTCAATTTTTTAAAAACTGAATTTTTTATTTTTCGTGTTTTTTGTTTTTTGTTTTTAGTGAATATTTTTAAAATTTTAAGCATTTTTTTTTTTACTTTTTTAGATGCACCTTACTTAAATGTAACTAAAAAGTAAAATATTTGTGAAAAATATTTTAAAAAATTAATAAATACACAAAATACAAAAAAATATATTGAATTTTTGTATTTTTGTATTTATTATATTTTTGGTATTTAGTGAATTTTTTAAAGATTTTTTTCATGAAAATTATACTTTTTAAGTGTATTTATATTAGGTGTGTCTAAAAATTAAAAAAAAATTTAAAATATTAAAAAATTCAGTAAAAATTAAAAAAATACAAAAAACAAGAAAGTATAATTTTTTAAAAAATGTTTTCAAAAAACTAGAAACAAACAGATTTTTTTTCTTTTTAATCACTAAAGACAACAAAAGGGAACAAAAACAATGTACTTTTTTTAAAAAAATAACACTATTTTTTGTAAAATTTTTAAGGTATTCTTGCATAGTAACCTTAAAAATTTAAGAAAAAAATTTAAAAAGTGGAAAGCGAGAAAATAATATCAAACTCATGGAAGTACAATGTATGCATTATGGTGCTGTTTGGTGTAGTTGTTAAAACAGATTATAGATTATAACTTAACAGATTATAGATTATGACTTTAATCAGAAGCTGTTAATCTGTTTGGTGTAATTATTGGATTATAAATTCAAGTTGCTGAGTAGTGTTTGTTAAATAAGCTGTGAAGTAACTTTTTCAATTAATTTTTATTTTTTATTATTCACTATTTATCTACATTTTTCATAAAAAATAATAATAATATTTAATAGTCCATTTGAGTCTTTTTTTATTTTTAAAAAAATAAAAAATAAAAAATCTAAGAGTATAACCGTGAATTAACATATCCACAGCAGAAGCTGATAATCAGAAGTAAGGGGTGAGCAGCTTCTCAGAATCAGCTTTTTTGACTTAAAATAAGTTGTTAGAATCAGAAGCTGTTTGAGAAGCTGATAATCAGAAGCAAGGGGTGAGCAGCTTCTCAGAATCAGCTTTTTTGACTTAAAATAAGTTGTTAGAATCAGAAGCTGTTTGAAATAAGTTTAACCAAACAGTCCAAAATAACTTTTTAAAAGTCAGAAGTCATAAGTTGGCTTAAAAAAGCTCCACCAATCCAAATGGGTGTTGTACTTTCATGAGTTTGTAATTATTTTTTTTGTTTCTTACTTTTTTGATATTTTCCAAAAATTTAAAAGTTTTTTTTTAATTAATTAAAAAATAAACAAAAAAATTTATTGAAAGAACATTTATCAAACCAATATATTGTTGTATGGTCTTGAAAGACAACATTAATTAAAAATCAAATAATAAAAAGAAAAAAAATTAATACATATTTTATATATTTTTATTTGTTGCGAACATTTTTCACATATTTTGTTTTCTTGATTTTTTTTCCTGAATATTCAAAAAAAAAATTATAGAATTAACTAACTTTTCAAACTATTTAAATAACTCACTTTTTGAAACCGTATATTCAAAACTCAACTTCATATTAAAATCGTATATTCAAGATACAATTTCAATATAAACTCATATTTTGAAAATACAATTTTATGATGACATGAACCCCATCATGACAAATTGAAATTGCATATAAAAAATGCAATTTCATTAAAAACGTAAGTCAAAATGTAATTTCATTAAAAACGTAGGTCAAAATTGCAATTTTAAAAACTAATAAGTCTAGGAACATAACCGCTAAACACAAAATATGACACATAGGGCTCACATGAGATGGATCCTACATGTAGGTTTCACGTGTGGTCCCACGTCATTTTGACCTCACCTTATATGACACATATGCGTTTCATTTTGTGTTTAGTGGATTTATTTTTGTTTTTTTAAACAATTCTATGTTTGGTGGTTGTGTTTTAGCATTACTCTTTGAAAAATCGTCGTTTAGTTCCCGCTTCTCTTTTCTTTCTTAGTGTCATTCCATCTACCACCGCTGTCTTCATCCGCCAGCACCATCAACCTAAGCGCTGCCTTTGCACCACGGTTCAAACTCTTATTG